GCTACACGGCATCATTATACCACTCCTCACCAGTACCTAAAGCACACGTGGTCACGTCAACATCACAGCACCTACCGTGTGAACGAAAAGCCCCCCTCACCGAAAGGTAAGTTATATTCTCGGTTCCTTTTTAAATAGGAGCATTCAGCTCCATGCGCGACTGTAGCCTGCGTTTTAACGATTACTTTCGGCCTAGCTTTCGCGCTACCAACTGACGTTTTATCAAACCACGCCATCAACTCAATGTGTACTGGGTGTTTAGTGGCCAATCTGCAGACTGGGGTCAGGCGGTGATGACCGACGAGGCTCTCACGGTACGTCATGCCGCGTAGCATTCGTAGGCTAAACTGATAACGAAGCCTGTCGCCCGTTCATAATACAGGCTGGGGATGGCAGATAAAGAAGGGGGGGGCACCAAGACAAGACCGTCTGTTCCCAGCAGTTTAGGCACAGTTTTAGTGCTGACTTAAGCTAGCGTTGCACTCCAACGTGATACAATCTGGGGGTCTTCGATAGAGGGGACGCTGACGCCTTGAGTATCAGGTACAAACTCTAGCACTGACGTAAGCCAGCTCAGTAAACGTCATGTGACGACGCAAGTCACTTTAATTTTCACATTTGACTCAAAACATACGTGTAAGTAAATATGTAAGCTAAGTGCCCAAGTCTTGAAGACTGCTCCTCAGTTTCTTCCGCATTCAGCTTCTATGCCACATATGTGATGCGAGCCTGACAATATCACGGTCTACCATGACTGAGAAGGCTGCCAGTTGACGTAATTACCGGACACACCGTCAGCCCAGTGTGTGTTTAGTGGTTGATGCGCGGACTAGCAAACAGGCGGTTTATGTTTGGAGAGCGGAGTGACGAGCCTAACCAAGGAGTAACTACTCCGAACACGCAAATTGTTCAGGTTATCAATGCGTCCCTATCAAAATGAAGATCCAGAAGCCTCCATCTATAGACCAACTGCCAAAATGGGTATGATTACCGCAAAATCCAATAACCGACTTCAGCTATGAGCAATTGCCATCAGGCGACATCCACTCCTATTAGGGGAAGAGCAGTGTTCAAAAGTGTACGAGCCCCGTGCAACAGGGCGTAGTGGCTGACAAATCTAAACAGGTAGTCTACGCATGCTGCACATGCTTGGTTCGCACACAGTTGACGAGGGATGCAAAGCAGAGATACGAGCGCTTACGCACGCAAGAACTAGCAAAAGGAAGAATGACCCTAACGTGTCATAGTCACGACCTCGAAAGTACGGAAAGCAAACACGATACGCACAGCAGGCCAGTAGTAAAAAGAGAGGCAATTCATATAGATGATCTGTCATAACACAAAACTCGTAGGAGGGCGGGATGGAGGGACAAACGGTAGAGACCGCCAAGAAGTGACTGATCAAACGCACACACACGCGCGCGCGTGGAGGTTGGCCACAGGGGACTCAGTGACTGTATGAGTACGTGTCTCAACAATCTTGTACCCGCTGCCGAGAGAGTAAGAGGAATGCACAAAACAGGCAGCACAGTCAAGCAGACGAACAAACGAAAACAAATTCAGGTAGCCACGCAAGCCTACGGGTCTGGGAGATAACCGATGGCAGACGGGGACTGTAGAGGGGAGTGGGCTACGAGCCACCACTGTTGCATAACCCACACACGCACGCCGTCCGTATACACACGCAGCTCCGGGGGGAGGAGAGGGGCAGGGGTCTAGGAGGAGGATGAGGAGGGGAGAGAACTGCTCATAAACTCTTGTTGGCCAGCGCCTCGACCTCCGTTACAGAGCGAAAGAGATCAGTCGTTGAGAAGCTGCCACCTGCTTGATTGTCTAGTGGTAACTGATTCTGCCAGCGCATTGGCAATTCGGGGGAATTGAAATTTGGCTTCATACCAGGCGTAGAGGCGGATGCTTTGGAAACAAAGGACTCCAGTTGAGCAAAATGACTCTGACCACTATACGCCGGGCCGCCGCCGCCAGCTGAAGCTGTCAAGCCAGACTGAGGCATAGGAAGCATCTGGGGCACACTCGTGTTGGAGAGTGAAGAATATCTGGAA